TGTGCTACAGGTATAGTAGAATATCCTTGAAGCTCAGTCTTCTTCCCTGAATCTTTCAAGGTGTCAGTCTTTCAAGATATGTCAGTGCTGTTCTCAATGCAGCACCATTAGACTTGAACTCTCCTTATCCATATTTCTGAAAAAATAAAAAATTAAAATCTCCCTACAAGACAAACTCAGTAATTCATACAGTCAAGTCTCAATATGACAATACTGCAATTCCAGCTTGACAACCAGTTCACATACTGGTTCCGTGCACTTGTACCTGCTCCACACCCTGCATACAATCACCCTTGCAGATGGGGTCAAGCTGTACTATCACTGTTCCTTTGCACTGCATTCCTCAGCTGTACTTCTAACTGGTGTTTAGGCTGGTATTATGCTATACTCATATTTGTAATGATTCAGAGCTATTTTAAGAGCACAACTTTAATTCAGGCGCCAAGCAAAATAGGTTTGCATCTTATTTTGTCTTATACAGGACACACTGCTTGCTATTCCAGGGTGTCTCATGGTCATTAATGACCTATGCCTCAAAGTACACTGCAGGTGCCAATAGCCATACCTTGATCCCTCAAATGGCTCTGTCCTCAGAAGTGATGCTAACAATCTTATTGCCTTGATAAGTATTATCCCAGAATGAATATGGAGCATGATAGGATTCTAAGCAGCAGTAGGCCTCACAGAATTTATTACAGATGTTTTTTTCTACAAGTCTTCCTTTGAACTGTGAAGTTATTACGAGTTTCATTTTTTCTGTTGTTCCCTGTAGCCCCTACCCTGCAGTAGGTTTACAATACAGGTTTAATTTTGTCTCATTCCTTTACCTGACCTAATTAAATTTTAAGATTAAAGAGAAATTAATATAAAAATCTGCAGAGAAAGAGAATTGCCCCTTCAGAGATCACAAGCTCTGAGACAAGGCGGCTTTTATCTTGACAGTGACAAGACCATCACTACAACAGAGGAATGAGACAGACCATAAATGAGTAGACAGGGAGATGAGTAGAGACCCTGCAATCCCATTGCCTGGTGGCACACACCAGCAGAAGTTTTCTATAAAAAATAAAAAGTGAAATTCTTGTCTACTTCAAATATTTCATGTGAACTTTAATTAAGCCAGGATTTTGTCTACCTAACTCAATTTAGATCTGTAACCAAAGAGAAGTGGAGACACCCATCTACATGCATGAGAGAACAGCCAAGCCTGAACCCGTGGAAGTCTCAAGAACAGGGAATTACAAAAGCAAGATGTACTAACTGAAGTTTCAAGAGACCAGCACAGATGAGGCCGCGCAGATGCTGGAGCTGGGGGCCACTCACTACACTTATGCCAGTATTATGCCACTCGTGTTTATGCCAATATATTTTCAAGAAATAATCTAAATGGAAAAGGGAACTTGAGAAAGCACTTAAGACAAGCTTCTTGAGGCTGGCTGTTTCTGGGCAACAGGAAAATTTCTGCCTCTGAAACAGCTTGAATAGGAAGTGTAAGCCTTAAGTTTACTTTTATCGGTCTCCTGAGTGGCACCAAGGCTTAGCAACTTTATTAACAGCAGCAAGCTAGAAGAAACATTCAGCTGATGGCTGTAACAATGGTTGAAGCTTGTTTTTAAAAAGTCTTTTTTTCTGTTGGATTTTTTGTTTGTTTGTGGGTTGGTTTTTGTTTGGTGGTGTTGGTGTTGGTGTCTGTTTTTTAATTTGAGGTACACCAAAAAAACCCAGGAGACAAAGACCAGAAAAGGTAAGGCTGCAGAGAGGAATCATTATTGCACAGAACAGGAGGTAGGAAAAGAAACATGAAACCAAGAAACAGAGAAAGATGTGTCAAAGTTCAAAAGGATAAAATGAAACATAGTTCTGCCAGCTGCAGTGAAGATAGGGGGAGAGGAGAAAGACCCTTCATTAGCAGAAAAACACTCATTAAGCATACCAAATGGAAAAGTTTCCATGTTATGGCTAGTTCAGAACAGATTGGAAATTGTGAAAACAGATACCATGATTGTTCAAGGGTCTCCCAAAGATTAATGGGTCCTCTGTCCTTCTGTCTGAGGCCTGCTCGCTGAAATGTTTTGTGACAAAAGGTCACATACTCTGTGCGCTCCCTTTAGGAAATTGCACTAATGAGTGTAGATCCTGCTTTCATATGTAAATGTTCAGTGGTTTACTGCATATGCTGAATTGTTTTTGCTTGCCATTGCAACGTATTTGAAATTAAACTTTTGAAAAATTACAACAATCAAATAATTACTGTAAATTATCACATCTCTTATCCGACATGAATATACTTTAATGTCTAGAACAGTAGAGAAAGTACTGTCTGCTGCACATTGTGCTTTTTTGAATTTGACTTCCATTTGCTCAACCTCATCCACCTACAGAATTCAAACATACTTCCAGAGTAAAACAGGTCTCGAGCCTCCTCAGCTCCTCCCCTCCAGAGGATGCTCACCAATAGATCTGTCACCTATTTGTACCCAGTCCAGAGAGAGACGAGTAGATTTAGAGGTTTTGCCCCCAGTAACATAACTTCAGCTCCCTCCTTGATGAATCTCTCTGGTCCAGCTCTCCCTTAATGCTGTGTATTTCAAAAAGCAAGTAAGACACCCCTTTTTTCCACATAACTTGGTATTTGCCAAGCACTGTTTAAGTACTTTTCAAGTGACATTTATCATTCCCTATCACCATCACTGCAGATGGAAAACACAGAGGAAACTGCTCAGTGAAGACATTTACTTTCTTTTGATCCCAGCTTCTCTGCCTCAGTGGCTCATCTGAATGTTTCAAGCAGTTATGTTTCTAACCAACCCTGCACAGTGAGTCACATACATGGTAATCCCTGGCAGTCCACGCACAGCTAATGTGTCTGAGCTGTGCTGGTTCGGAGCTGTGCAAACTGAGTCACCTTCTTTTCCTTTGTCTGACTGAAAAGAAGCAACATGTTGTATGAGAGGATAAAATATAAAATCCTTATTTTGATGTTTTGATGTGCATCTACAGAATCCAGTACAGGTACCTGCATCGCAGCAGAAGGAGTAACAACATCACAAGATTGGCACTTAAAATCACTATGTCTGTATGACATGGAGTGGGGAACAGAGAACAGGGTACAGCTGGCAAAACTTACAACACTGAATCCCAAAAATGCATTTTGATAACACTTCCCTGATTTAAGAATGCCATTGACAAGCACTGAAAGCATGTCTTTCCTTCTCATTTTCTGTCAAGTCTTCTACTGAATCAGCTACAAGAGAAACCGTGTGACACCTGACTCTTGTTCTTCAAATAGGATTTCTTATTTGGTAAAGCCATTGAATCAAGTCAAATTTGCAATCAAATTAAAGCAAATGGAAAACAAGGACAATCGTTTTTGTGTAAGATTTCAGTGAGACTTTATATGTACATTTCAAGGGATTGTGTACAGAAATCTCCCAATCTGTTCCAGCATGCACTCCTGCAATTAGATGTGGTTCCCTGAGACTGAGGCTTTCTCAAGCTCCTTCTCCTTGCACAGCAGCTAATTCTGTGAGAACTTTGTTTTAATGGTAGTAAAATATATGCGCAGATACAGTAACAGATGCCAAAATTGTCAGTAATGGAGCATTCTACTGGGAAAAGACTGGAAGAACAAAGAACATAGGAATGGGAACTCAGTGTTTTCCTTGCCATGGAAATGCAACAAGTGCCTGGTTCTTGCATCAATCATGGCAAATCCTTGTGACTTTGGTACTGTGATGAGCCTTACTCAGGTACAAAAGGACAAATAAGGAAAATGTGTGAGTTAGTTACTAAAATTCTTCTTACACTCCAGTGGTAGAAGGTGGGCTTTATAAGGGTCATGCGGCTTCCAGGCAGAAAAAGGAGCAGGGAAGCAAACAAGCTTTTCAAAACTGCCCTCCTTACACAATTAGGGATTTGCTACATACATAGGCTCACAAACCCCAGCTATTGGCCCAGGTACCATCATCCATGTGGGTTCAGCTGCCTGGTGGCTGCACACCTCAGCACCAAACACTTCACCATGCAGAAAGCAGTTCTTATTTGCTTCCAGGCTGCTCCCTCTTGCTAAGGTGCCCCAAATCTGCATGTTATTTGACACATCACGAGTAGCAGTGCAAAAGTAGAGTTAGCAACTGAAAACATGTAAAGTCAAGGATGTACTGTCCAGGTAACACAAAAACCTGCAATGAAATCTGCAGGTTTGACATCCCAGAAAAATGTAACAAGTAAATATGGATTTATAGCAAAGTCACTTATGAATTGCCATGTGAAAACCGTAAATCAGATTTGTTAGCACCTCTGCCTGTTGCATTTTTGACCTAAGCAGACCATAGCTGAATAACAGTCTATAAAGCCAAAAACGGATGTGCAAAACCCCAAGATATCAGAACCAGGCTAACAATATTAATTTCAACGACTGCTGTATCATTATCACATCATTTCTAGAGAGCACTCCAACATATTTAGAAAAGTCTTGACATTGTCTTTCATTATCTGTAACCCAAAAGACAAATCAATATTGTAAGCCTTAGTCTCCAAGCCTGTTTTAAAAACAAAATTCTGTAACAGAACAAAACAGCCAGCATATACAGACTGGGTGTCTTCATAAATTGAAACAGTAAGAGTCTGATGACAGAGTCAGTCATTCACACTGGTTTTGCTATATGCACATGAATCACTGCCTCTAGTGATTTAAACCAAACTTCGCAGTTTTGGTATTTTCTTCCTAAAAAGGCTCTCACAGACTTGTCACATGAGCAGTGCAGCCTTCTACCTTCCTTTTATAACCAGCCTTAAAGCCACTCATTTACCAAAGTTGTGAGCAATGACTATGAAAAAATCAAAAGACTTTCCCAGTGCCTTCCACTTGCAGAGTCTTCTACAAAGTCAGTGACGAATGATAGATACTCTATGCTTCACACAGTGGTAAATAACCAGACAAGCAGACAAAGATCAGGCCTGAGACATAGAGAAAAGACAGAAACTATTTAAAATCTTACCTTCTGCACATTGGGTTTGATGCACCGAACAAAGAATGGATTTGAAGAACTCAGCGTTGCCATTAAAGAATGAAGTGATTCCTAAAACACAGGTAGAAAGAAGAGCACTTCACAAGCTGGATTTTTGTACAAACAACATACCCTGGACAAGAGCTCTTGCAGCTCAGCACTGCAGACAGCATCTAACTGCAACACCTAGTGGTACACACCAGAAGTTACTGCACCATGTAAGCTCTTGCTTCCAAACATATAGGATCAATACATGCATGTTCATTTCTTCCACTGTCTCTTCTGATCAAAACTGTCATCACTGTTTTACAGTGAACATGATTCACAGACTGATGTGAAGAAAACTGTATGGAAACACCAAATTGGAAATTTGCTGTTTCAGGGATCTTTCAAATGACTGCTTAAGACTTAGGATCAACATTCCCAAACTGCTAAACATGGGCAAGTCAAAAGGAAGGATAAGGGGCTTAAGGTAAAAACCCACAGAACTAGATTTCCTCTTTTCATTTCAACTGCCCTATGCCCACTCACTTTCCATTTCCCCTGAAGAAAACCGGATTTTTCCTAGTTTTACAACTCTGAATGATTCAATACACATTAGACTATCAGTTGTCTGAACCTCAGCCTGGAGATAAAAATCACAAAAATCCCTCAGTCCTTTTATGATTATTACTTTAATTACACATCCGCCCCTTTCCCTTCCGAGCCATCATTCCATATCTTATTCCAACTTGCCTCATTCTGTATCATTAAGTATGATGAACCATTTTAAACTGAGGTCTTGCATTTACTTTGCAGAGATACAAATGACTGTACAGGAGAGGAACCCAGGCTCTGAAGAGTCCAGAAAATTAGCAAATGGTAATGTTTCAACCCTCAAAGGTGGTACTTTGTGCCAGGCAGCAGAGGGAATACAGAGCGGGCTGCCTAGGAGACAGAAAATCCACCTTTTAAAGGAGTAACACTGTGCATCCTGCCATATGTCTTGGAGCAAAACTGCCAATGTCAGTCTGTTATAACAAATTCTTGCTTTAATCTGCACACCAAGGACTTACTTGATAATTAAACATGCAGTGATAAAGGCAACAAGCAGAGTTAAGGCTGTGCACAGGAGCTGGTGCAGAGCAAAGGGAGCAAACAGTGAAATGACTGGGAATATAAATGATAGGTCTTTGCTTCATTTGTCTTTGCCAGCCTACAGATCAGGAATAGGGCAGCAAACATTAAACAGCCAGAACATAAAAACCCAAATATTTTTGTGTAAAGAAAAATATTTACAGCTTTAAATAGTAAAGGTTTAATCTGCATTTAATCTGTGTGAACATTACATCTATGGACAACTAAGCCAGTTCTCTCAAACCAGGCTCCTGCTTGCAGAGATTGGAAAAGTTGCTCAGTCTAAACAAAAATGATTTAAACTATTTTCACCTTCACTTGTGGTACAGACAGCCAGATTCTGCACAGTGCTGCAAACCTCTAAGTCACTGTCAGGTGACAACCTGACTAATCTAATTTGAAGTTTGCCCTGCTCTAATCAACAGGCTGAAACAGATGGTATCTAAACTCAGCCATTCTGCGTGCACCCCAAGGCCTGCGTTAGGCAGGTCATCAAATGAAGAGAAGAGTCAACCAACCTATCATGAAAATAAAACTGTGAAGGCGAAGTTCTTATCTTCAGTTGAAATAAAATGGACTTAATCCCTGTAAGGCTTTAAAACATGCAAAAACCACCCAACCTAATTCTTTGGGGAAGGTATGATGTGAAGGTCAACCTCTTGTAAAGCAGCCCAGCCAGTTAATGGTCAGTTACTACAGCTTTAGATAAGAGGCAATTATGTTTTGATTTCATGTTTTATCACCCTTATGTTGACCAGGGGCCCTGACAGAGAACAGAAAGAACACTAAATTTTATTTTATCTTGCCAAGTGGGTGCAAAAATACAGTCAATTTCTGTAAGGTAACATCTTAAAAGTCTACTTTGCACGTAATACAAAAGACCAAGCAGAAACAGTACCTTCTGCTATTCCAGAGAACTAGTAAATAATACCATCTCACCATAAGAAGTGGGTAGTGTCTGAGATGAGTTATGGTAGCACAGAACAAGCTGTCTAGAAAATACAACATTAGGGTTTTTTAATAAAAGGCATTGTCTGTGCCCCAGCATATACATCTTGCTGTTCTGTCCAACACTTAGAAATAGTCTACTAGGATAAAATCTACCCTTAAGGAGTTTGAGTCTGCTCTTTCTTAAAAAAAAAAGTGAATGAACTGTGCAAATGTATATTAATTCAAACAAAATGAAAGAAAACTAATCCAGACTTGTACTCATGTAATTTAGAAAATGTTTTGTGCCAATCCTTCTCTTTTAAATAATTTGCAGATAGACTTTATGCTAGATTTCAATTTGGTGCCATTTTTGATGGGAGGCTATAAAGCCTCATAAAAAGGTCTTTAACAAAAATGCCTTCCAAACTTTAAGTTAAGGCAAGGCAACACCTTAATGAGGTATTTATTCAGCACTTGTTTTCTTAGTATACAGACATTGCTGTAAGGCTTTGTGCGATTTTGTGGCTGGATTTAGATTATAAAGAAAAACCAGGACAGGAGAGACCAACTTTGTAGACGAGCTTTAAAGTAAGGACGAGTAAGCAAGTGGGGAATGCAACGGGAGTTTTGTGTGGATGGTGTGATGCAAAGGTTAGTGTCTACTCAAAGCCAATCAGTTGATTAGTAAGGGCACTTTCATAGAAGAGACACCAATGTTTTCATGTGTAAGTTTTCTCTGTTTCAATATGCACCCATTCTTTACTGACCAGGGTTTATCTATCATTGATTAGCTACAGAGCAGAGACAACATATTAACTAACCTTGAACTGGAGACTGACTGTGGGTTTTCGGTGCTTGCTTCCACATTTAAGAGTGTCTTGATTGTTACGACTTGAAACATGTTCAAATAGATCATAGATGAAATCAAGACTGAAATGGGAAAGAAAAAGAATATTTCTAAAGTGTATCTCTAAGAGACTATGAGGTTCATCACTGTAGAATGCAAAGAAAGCATTGTCCCTTAGAAAGTAGCTCCTCCATCAAAAACACTCTTATTGATTTTCTCCCTAGTCCTTAATAAACAATAGATTTTTCTTTTGCAGAATTTATGCAGGGGAGAAAATAAAAACAAAACAAGGAAGTTCTTTCTTCTTCACTCCAAACACATCATTAGGGAACTGAAGTGTGAAGTCCTACTGCATTTTACTCCACTCACTCAACTGAAACTCCAGTTGACTGTAACTGGAATTGTACCTGCACAAAGACTAAAAAAAGAAGACTTTCAGCTTGTTTAGGGCCATAACACAAAATAGCCACCCACATAAGCCTCACTTTCAGATACCAGCTGTGCCTGCTGTTTTCTACTCTATCAGTTGGGTGCTCTTCTCTCACTGTTTCGACAGAAACACTGACATTTTAATTTGAACTCTGCACAGATGTTGGTGCAAAGGCAAAACCAGGTCCAGCAGCTTTAACTCATCTATTTCTTTTACCTACATACTTAAATTGACAGATGTTATATCAGATATGTCATAAATCCAGAACAAACAACATAGAGAGGTAAATGCTTATTAACAGTTTCCCCTGCACAGAAGGGCTTAAGGGATTTACAAACAAGCAACTTGGCACAGCAAGGCAGGATGACTGAATGGGATAGGTGAGGGCAGCAGCTAAGACAGCAACAGCTGGGCTCAGCTGCCTCCTCTTCTGCCACTCCTCTGCATGTCCTGGAGCCTCAACCATACACCTACCAAAAGGGACATGGTACCGCTACGGCTCACAGAGTACAAGGACCCTAAGACCTTACACAGAATGACAGGAGACACGCAGGTACCAAAGTCATCCACGCTCAAACTTTCAGCAACATAAATCTTTATAGTAACTCTCCCTTTGAAGCAATTACTATATGGCAGTTTGCACTGTGGTAGGTCTCCGACACCAAGCATTCACCCAAATTAGGGAATGCCCAAAATACAAGCAAAGCCAGATGTATGTGAAGTAAAAAACCACACATGCACATTGCCTATGAGGCACCTTGAAACTGTTAAAAACCATCACCAGCTTCCAGTATCCTTACTCATCACAGAATAGCAAGTGAGTTCCCTAGGAACCCCTGGACTGAACAGTGACAAGGTACTCTACAATGTAGGTAAACCCGACTTTGTGAGAACTGATTACAGTCAGATCTGCTTACAGGCAACTCTGATACGCTCATTTGTATGATATAATATGATACAATATGCTCATATCACTTCTATGATATGCTCATTTCTATTTCATTCTATGCTCATTTCAACTCTGTCAAGGTCTGATGCTATGCAATATCTAACATTCAAACTCGAGCAGAATTAGGTTATAAATCCTGGCAGAATTAGCCGATGTAACACCCCTTAATATCATGTCCTTAACAAAAATCACAGAAACATACCTGCTTTCACGTAGTAAGTTCAAGAGATCATCTCTGAAAGTATCCCTGTTCTTCTCCAAGATCCCCCTGACATCATACTGGACCTAGAAGGAAACAGAGCTGGTTCAAACAACAAGCCAAACAGTCAGGCACCTCTCACAAGAGCAGTACTGCAAGAAGTGCTGAGGGAACAGAGTGCTTCAGTTAATTTTGAGCACCCTCGGGGTAAAATTAAGCTAATGAAAATTCTGCTTGGAATAATTTCAGCAAATAAAGAAATTACCTCCCCAGCGTAGTGCTTCACTCCAAAGTTGTGAACGGCAACTCTCGGCTTTACATAAAAAGGATTGTTCTAAATGGAGGGGGAGAAAAAGAGAAAAATATTTGGGGGGGGTGTCAGGGAATGGAATGATACAAAGGTTCACATTATCCTCTCAACCCGTACTAAACAAACCACTGTCTTCCAGTAAACTCCCCAGAAGATTAGTGCTCCAAAAGCAAACAAGCAACTTATAATGATAATAGGATTTGTTAGTCTGAGTTGCTTCAAGTGCAGCAATAACAGATTTATAGTATATAAGATGGCATTATACTAAACCTGAACCCATCTGGCAGAACCACCTATTAAAGGCACTTCGAAAGAGAAGACTATGTCTTGAAGGCAGTTATGAAAATTAGTGGATATGCTCGCATCCCAGAAATTCTCAGAAATAATTCTAGGATCACAAATAAAGGTAACACTAATCTGCACAGAGGAAACAGCAATCTTTCAGTAAATGACATAAAGGTGAATGCCTCATTAAAACAAGGGAAATTGAAGATCTACATAGTCTGAGCTACTGCAGGTTGACAGAGCTCCAATTAAGAGTAGAATTTGACTTATTTACCATGACAGAAACCTTTAACTGCACAGTAACAAGGATATGTTCTTCAGGTAACTTCAGGGAACTGAGTCTTGACAGCAAATTATATGGATTGCCATGGAAGGAGAAATATATACAAAAAAGCCTCTAAAACTATGCATGCACATATTTGAACCGTGAATTTCTACAGAAGCAAAGAGATCCTCCATAATTTGCAGAGAAAACATTAGTGAAACATCACATACAGCATGCTGGGCATTCAACTTCTCCAGTAAGGTGGAGTCAGTAGCTTGAGGAAAATGGCTCTCCTCATTGATAAGTGCCAGTAGTCCCAGTTTCTAGAACAGCAAGAACATACAGAAAATGAATTAGTGCACAGATGGATAAAGATGTTGTCCCCAGTTTGGAAAAATCACAAGGTCCTTGAAGTTGCTGTGTGCAGAGAGGTGCAAAACCACCCATACACAACTGAAACCCCACTCTTGTAGATGATTGCAATCCTATTTTTCTGGCAACAATGCTTTTGAAATACAGAGCATATGATCCATGGGCAAAATAAAGAAAAACAATCTACTGGAAGAATCAACAGTTCTCCTGATGTAAGTAGTTTTTAGATGCATACAATGACATTGCCTCAGACTATATCTCCAGCCTCCAAGATTTCCAGTGATCAGGAGTCTGAGTAAAGAAGCCTTTCAAAAAGCTTTCTTCCATTAAATTATCTACTTAGTTGTTGAACCGATGCAAATATTTAGCACCCACAGTGCCCAAGGGCAGAGCAAAAGATATACAGTTTAACTACATGCTGGGTGAAACACCACCTCCCTTTGCTTTGCATATGCCTCTGTGTCATTTCCTTTGATGTTCCCTACTTAAGGGGTGGTAAGCAAAGCAAGATACCCTGCAGTTAATTAATGTGTCCAGCAAGCTTCAGGCTGATACAGCCTCTCAGAAAAACATGGATCTCCAGGAGTACATTTTAATAAGCCACTTCCCATGGGCCCAGAGCAGTTCGTGACAAACCACATCGCCCCGACCGCAGTCACATCCTGCCAGCTGGATCCCCTGCCTACTGCCATTTGTTTCTGTGGCCATCTGAACTCTTGCAGCCACAAACCCTGCTACGGAGATAAACTCATGCAGCTCACCTGTACTGGTGGCAGAAGTGAACATGGATCAAATGATTCTTTTTAATCAAGTGCAAATATTGCTTTTGTACATAATCACACACTGAGAAAAGTTGCAAAAACACATATAGTGAGTTTACAATATAATCTGTACTTGATACTTGAAAATTATCTGATTAAAAGTTTGCTATTTAAACATGCAAGATGCACCATTCTCTTAACTTGTTCTTTGTGTTGGCAAGTGTTTTAAGGACAGATTATCTCAGAACAAAAACTAACAATAGGTAACATCAAATTATTACCTTTTCAATAAGATCCAAGCACTCGCCATTGTCTGTCCAGTCAATATCCTCCCAAATCAGTCCTTCCCTAAGGAAAATAAAGAGGGCCTTTTTATTGACAAATATGATGAAATCATTTTAATTATAAAAATAGGAGGACCTGGTGCATTTATCTTGCAAATTAAAGCAAAATCAGCTTGCTTTTAAAAAATACACAGCTCCAGACAGAGATTTTCAAAGGAAGCTAAGGGACCTGCAAATCAAGATTTCAAGTGAATACTGATAGTCAAAATTCTTTCAAATTTCTTCCCTGTCTCTTACCTGCTGTATTCCAGTTGCTCCAAGGAAAAGATGTGCTTGTTGAAATACTCCTGAAGCTTCTCATTTGCATAGTTAATATTGAACTGCTCAAAACGGTTTACCTAAGGAGACAAGAAATTTTAAAAAATGCATACATTTTTGTATGTATTTTACTTTGCAAACAAGGGACTAGTTTAAGTCATGACATGTTTAATAATCAAGTTCCAGAGAAGAGGACAAAGATATGTACAACAATAAAGTATAAATATCAAACAATCCACTTAAACAAGCTTCTGAAACCTACCTCAAAATTTTCAAATCCAAATATGTCCAAAATTCCAATAGACTTGAAGTCTTCCTTGCTCCTGATTCTGCTATTGATTTTCTTAATGACCCAAGCAAAACACTGAGAATAAAGTGCCATAGCCATAGAATCTCTGCTGTCTATTGCCTGTGTTAAAAAAGGAATACACAACACATCAATCACCTCTGTGACCCCTGTGTGTCCTTAGCACACCATAAAGCAATGTATGATGCAAGCAGATTCGTATTCCTATGTAGCTCGACAGCAATTGCATTAATACTTACAAGGCATCATGGTTTGAGTTTAATAGTTTAAGTTAAAACAGATGTATATCTATGTGTCCTTAAAATTACATCTCAAGGCTAAAGCATTCAAAAAATTAGAAAATTATAAACTGAAGGTGTGGAGGAAGAAAAGAGAAGGGTAGGAAATAATACCTTCATTCACCCTTTTCTACAGTTAAGCATAATGTTATGCATACCTATTTCTAATCCCATTCTTGTAAATGATAAAAATATTTCTCCAGAGAATTTCAAAAATATTCACCTTACCCAAGTATCGATAGTGAAAAATATCAGCCTACATGATTAGGATTTGAAAAAAAAATGGTAAGCAATCAGGCTTAATAAGGATAACAAGAGCCAAGCTCCCAGCCCTGGTCTGAATGACAGGATGGAATCTATAGAGATGACACCTTTCCCAAAAAAATCTATGTAGTGCTTTTGATTACAACTCCGATGCATGAGCTAAGCTTCTGTCCCTGAGTGTCTAGTGATTTCTCTGGACTTGAAGATTGATACATACCTTTCACAAACCCTAAAAACATGTCAAAACTGAGATGCCTTTACCTGCTGTATACTAAGAGGTGTTAGGATTTCTTCTCCCCTGAGTATCATTGACCTCTGTGTCAATGCTTCAGTTAGCTGTGTGGAGTCCAACCCTAGTAATTCAGCAGATCTACCCAGAGCTGCCAAAAGAGAAAGACAAATATGTCCTTAAATGTATAAGGTTATGAAACCAATTTGGTTTTTTACTATTATTATTATTATTATTACTACTACTACTGCCACCATTTAAGATGCTTCCAAAATGACAGGGATTAGAGACAAAAGCACAACTAGAAACTCTAAGATATTGTTTTGCTGCTCACGAAAAGGCATAAATATGTACGACTGAAGGGAGTTAACAGTAGAAATTCACCACAAGTAAGTCACAAATATTTATTTACCTCTTAATGTTACACCTAAAGGATTCAGACAATTCAGTGCTTACACTAACACATTTTTCTTGATACAAACAGTAATTGACTCTTTGTCCACATGACTGCTTTTCAGCTTCCCTCAGGATGATGAGGATAAACCAATGCAATTTTTTTCTTACATGCATACTTTAGTTTTCAATTTTGCTATAACATGGTATATAAGCAGTATGTAATGCTACTCTCTATTGCCATATTTGAACAAATGTTTAAAATGCTCACAGCTCATTCTTTAGTCACACCAGCACATACTTTTGGATTTGTAATTGAAGTATTGAAAGCTCTAACAAAAGATACCTTTGGTGGAGATCTTGTTAAGGAAATGTATTTGAGCACATATGTTTTATCAACTTGAGAATATTTCAAGAAGAAATTAGATTCAAATGGAATTTCATTACTATTAATGGAATAAATATGTGCCCAAGCTCTTCCATAACTAAGATCTAGCATCCAGCAGCAGACTAACTTTCCTCATTTGTCAAACCCCATCCCTCAAAAATAACATATAACATTTTAATCAACATTTAAAGATGTTAAAAAGCAGTAAGATCCTTTCACTGTTTGTCCTTGTTAGGTTCAGATACAATAGCAACAACTACAACTTTCATAGCCTCAAGAAACATTTACATTTGGATGCACACCCTTCTCACCTGTTTTAAAGGACACCTGTGCCCCACCAGCAGTGATGAACTCAACATTTCCTAGATGCAAAATGCCAGCCAACAGTCTCAAAACTTCTCGTACCTCCTCCTTGCTGAATTGCATCACTTCCATTGCAGTCTGGAATGACATGTGAGTTTCTTTAATAACATGCACACAGACTCAAAAATGGGAGGCCTTAGAAAAGCAAGTCAGGACTAACAGAGGCCTGGCTGGAGTCCATTCCTTTGGTTTCATGCCAAACTGAATACACTGTAAGGTACACTGGAACATCTTGAAATATGTAAGTACCTCTGCTTTTAAGAAATCTCATTTTGATGCTGTAATGATATTGTAATGTGCTTTCAAATTCATCATTAAAGTTGTTAAAATATTAGAATGACCTACTGAGTTGTGCATCAGACACAATTACTTTAATTTGAATTATTAATTGATTACCCCTTGTGTGTTTTTACCAAATTTTGCCAATTAGCCTTGTAGGTAACAAGGCATAGGGGAGGAAACACAGCAACATGTAAGATTTGCTCATGTGTGCACCCAAACACGCATTTTACCAGTGTGGTCTGACAACTCCCAGTAAAACTGAGCAGGAAAGGAATCTATATAAAAGTGTCGAATTTATGAATAAACAATATGGCAACGATCAAGGGTCAACTACATAAATGAGCAAATTGGAAGATATTAGAAGAAATACTAAAACAAGAGGAACACATGCTTTCTTTGACACAGATGGGGTATGTAATTGTATGCCGCTTGAAATGACCAGAATTTCCCAAACTTGGGTCTAATACAAACCTGTCTGAGACCAGATCGGTTTTATACTCGCCTAGTCAGACATGTTATAGTCACTGCAGGTGTCTGGCAGATGACACATGACACATTTTATCTTCCATAAATCATCCATTACAAATGGAAAAGCCTCAGACTCATGACACAATTCAACGTAGGGTAGGGATAATGGTTGAAGGTTTATTTTCTAAAGAAGACCTTTCACAACAGAAAGGCAGCAGCACTAGGAGTTCATCTCTACAGTCACCATGCAGCTCGTCCCTGTCTCCTACAAAAAAGTTTCCCTTAAGTAACATTTCCATGACTGAAACCGCAATAAAAATAGGCAAAGGAGATGACTATAATAGGAAAAGACAGGTGAGGGTGAACTGTGGGGGTTTCTGCCCGCCTCCTGTTCTGGGAATGCAGCCTGGCAGCCTCAGCCCCTGCTCCCAGCCTGCCCACGCTGCGGGCAGCAGGCAAACATCACCTGCCCAACTGATTTCATGCTCTGCCTACCCTGGGATGATTAGCACAAATTAAATGTCATGCTAACCTAGTTCAGCACGTGACAACAATATAGATAAGTTACCAACTTTTCCAACACACCCTTCCACCATACAAGATGACGGCTTTTTACACTAAAAAAACCTGCTGCATCCACTACACCTTAATTTGTCAATTTGGCAAAGAGATTAACATGGCTAACAGTTGGGTGAAGGGCATAAAATCAAATGTTTTGTCTGATTTTTAAAATCTAATGTGCATCACCTTGGTGCTACAGTATGCATGGTCAGTACAGACTAATTGCTGTGGGTATAAGATATAAAGACATTCATAGAGATTCCATCAGGACCCGGTTTCTAATCTGTGTTTATGTTTTCTTCAATTCTATTGTGTAAGTCACTCCATACAACTGGATTTTGCAGCTACAACTTAAAGAGTCACAGGTGTTTCACTCCCTGTGTGTTGCACTGCACTGCAGACTCCATCCAATAGATGCTACATGATTTGGGCAAAGCTTTAGGATTGAAAAACAGTGAAATATATCTCTATCTATCTATCTATCTATCTATCTATCTATCTATCTATCTATCTATCTATCTATCTATTTATCTATCTATCTGTAATAGAAAACAATATAGGGAAGGGCAAAGGCCTATAAAAGCCTTAGTGACTTCCCAACAGATATACTTTTAATTTCAAAATGTAATAATTTCTCTAAATTACAGCACACGTTGAAATGACAGTAAAAATGAAATACTAGAGAGAAGGTAAAGGCATGTTCAAAAGGACAGTGAAGCATTTTGAGAAAATATAAATCCCTGTAAGATTAGTGCCTACAGCACAAAAAGGCTTTGTCCCATTCCCTGTCAATGGGCCCCAGGCAGCTTGAACTTCCAGTGTTTTTAAGCAAAAGAACTAGGGAAACAACTCACAATGACTTCCTTGAAAGAATCTTTGTCACTGATTGTCTTATCCGCTATACATCCAGACTGATTCAGGTAGTGGTAGTTCTCCGGTACAGATAAGTAAAAAGCATCTAATGAGGAGAGAAAAGAAAGTGAAGGAAAAGAAATGCCAAAACAAAAGTACTCCACAAATTACTAAGTTAGAGTTAAATAGTTCACAATTCATGTGTTCAGAAATGATGATGATGATGCACAAGACAAAGTTTTATATTAAAATACGATGGGGGGCTATTTTCCTGGGTTTTGTTTTATTTAACTGCATAATGCAGTTAACTTTTTAGCATGCAAAGACAGCAGGTGTAAGGGGAGATGCTGGGACAGCTTTCAGCAATTTTGCACATATACAAAAGTAATTTCTTTTGTTCAGTGGATTTATTCTTTATGAGAGAGGATTAGAAGAACCAGAATTATTTATCTTTGTCGCTGTGGAGTTATTTACTACCAGTGAAAATATTCAGTTTGAACAGAATGAGGCATGTTTGTCCCCAAGTAATTTTCCCAAGGCCACAGCAGAAGCTGGGAGAAAAAACTATCAGCAGCTCAGTGACATTCTTCAACCAAGCAGGTTGCTTTATTAAGGTGAGCTCAAATTCACACTCACTGAATCCCAGCTGAAAAAATAACCTATTTCTCTGCTTGGGTTAGTGGGTTTCTGCAGTTAAATTCTCCACTGCTGTCACCACAGCTGACTGCTCAGTGAAAGCCACTACAGTTGTGTGACTTGTGTTTTGCCACTCACCTTTCTCTCTCTCTTCTATCCCCGCCAGCAGAGCATAGAATATATGATAATTTCTTTCTCCAGGGTTTTGTCTTACTACACGATTCTGTCAAAGTAAAAAACAGCGATCATTTTTAAGGATAATTTTTTTATCCACAGTTTCAGAAAAAATATTAAACCAAACACAACTAACTAAGCAAAAGCAAACATCAACTTACTTTTTCCAATAAATCTAGAGCCAGGAAGAAAAGCTTTAGTCAAGGAATAAAGTAAAAAGCAATTAATGCAGAAGCCATTTATAATCTTCTTTCTTTTATTTGAGACAATAGGAAGAGCATCATATTCTTTTCTTACAACATGCTAAATATGTTTGATACAACATGCCTACAACAAGATAAATAAAGTAGCAATGATAATAATATTAGCAGTTCTAATATCGATGTATTAACACCTTCTTCTCTTCCATTCCATCAAAACTGGACTTGTGACATTCTGCATCTTGAATGACATCTGCTTCCTTTGCTTTTTCTTTTCCCTAAACAACTTTAAATTTGTCCTAATGCAAAAGCAGCTGTTTAAAACAGCAGGCAAGATCCCCTCGGAATATTCCTCATCCCCACACCTCTGGTGCTCTGGTCATAGTCCGATTTTGCCAAATGCAGGGCAAATCTGAGGATTTAACCCACCCAGACACATGCTGCAGAAATTCAGCAGCTCTGCTCTTTCCAGTACTTCTCCAGAGAAGTAAGCAGCTTATCTTTGGATATAATAAATTAGGAAAATGGCTGACGACTGAGGTTATCCCCAAGAATTCAGGCTGGTTTAGATCACTGTGTAGGAACAGGCATATGAGCCACGCCATGCTGGCAGTAGCAACACATAATCCTGGTCCTCCAAGAGTATATACACCCCACACTGCCACGAATGCATGTGTGCATGTGTGAATTTGGTGTTGCTGCTTCTCTTTCCCACTAACACCAGCTCAATTTAACCATGATGAGGTGAAAGGACAGACAAAGGCAAGCCAGTTCTCTCAGTCCTCCACCAAGGAGGTACATAGGAGCTGCCTGCAAACAGCAGTCAAAGCACCAAATGAGGATACAATCTATAATTCTTCCTCCCTGAATGTTTCCTTTCTGACAGATGTTCAGCTGAATAAACTTCCCAAAGCGACTTGAGTTGTTGTTGTAAACAGTCTTCGCATTGCCAAAAGCTTCCATAATTGGACTGTGAAAACAGAGAATGACGAGAGTGTTAACACGTGACTAGCATGCCAATAGTTTCACATGGGACTGGTGAAAGGAACAACACTCTGACAAACTCCCTTGTGACACTCTTCTCAGCCGCAGCCTACATCCTCAGCAGTACCCTCCATTCATTAGCAATGGGCATCTCAATTTCCTATCAAAAGATGCAAGTATTCACGCAACAGGAAGATTAATCGTACCAAACTACTCTGCAGCTGCAGAGTAGTAACTGCTACTTGCTACTTCTCTTGCAATTGCTCAAAAGATGGAAATAAGAAATCTCAGCACATGCAAATTGCTAGACAGATGTAAGGAAACAGTCCTTGTCCTAAGGCAATTAAAAAAAAATAACTACATCAAGATACAGCATGTATAACAGAGATGAAGGAAAAACAAAAGTAACAGCATCTTAAATTGTCTTGTTTTTAATACTTTGGAATCATGTATTATTTCATGTGAACACAGAATATTTTTTTGCTTTTGGAGATTGTGTCCAATTTATCTGATGCATTTACTCATTTGTCTTATCAGTTCTCCTTGCCCTCCCTTTCCCCATCATGCTATTACCACTTGAGGACTTTATACTCACCATGTTGTATCTTGTTCTACCCTATCCTCAGGCTACACAAACTGAACCAATGGTTTCTCCCTCCCATCACCCATTTCCTTTATTCGGATTATCTCAATTCAGCCCCAAACAAAAATGAAAGCCACAATTAAAGCTTCATTACTTTCAAAATTCTGCATATTTTTGTTTTATTAAGATATACCATAGTGCTCACAACTATCTAGAGTAACCAGGTAATTTTATTTAATGGAGTATTTCCCCATCTCCAATATTAATTTTATTGTTCAATAAACAGACACACATATTTAATTACACTGCAAGCTCTTATTTCAATGTCAAGGCTTCGGTCTTCTGGAAAAAATACCTGTGTATTGAAAGATCTAGTACCTGCTCTCAAGAATAGCTTGCTCCACACAGGATGTCTTCTCTCTGCAGGACAGCTCCAGCGAATGTTGGCTCATTGCAGACAAGAATTTGAGAATCAGCTTAGTGCTTTCTGTCTTACCAGCACCACTTTCACCACTGAAAGAAGAGGAGAAAATTGTTTGCACAGTTCCAGTGGCTAGTGAACAATCCCTCTGTCTGGCCAGCCCTCCAAACTCTAAATTACTGGAGGTCAAGATGACTGGGGTGATTAGAAGTGATAGTCAAAGGGAAGCAAAATACCCCCTTAAGCTTCCTGAATATGACATCCAAGGCAAAACAAAAGCTGTCTTTAGACTTCATACCACTGCTCGGACAGCATTTCAAGGCACTGATTGCATATGTACACACACCCATGAGGCAACAAAGAGATCTCTGAATACAAGCAATTACCCAACACTTCCCATTATCACGTTAAAACAAAGTTACAACAACGGCAATAGTCAGGGATAAAGACCAGACTATTAATTAAGATGGGAAAGTTTGGGATTACATAGCTAATGAAGGCACTCTGCTGTGAGAAGGAGGAGGAGAAGGTTAGAGACCCCAGTGCATATTCTAACACATAAAGGCTACTAGTATAATTAATGCTGATATTCTTAGTGAGCTACATATTCTTTAAACAAACTTTTCACATACCTATTCAAACAAACCAGATTCACGTGAGTTCAAAATATCAACAATTTTCACCTCCCATCACCATCAGAGATGTAAAATATCTCATCTTCACCCACAGGAGAACAAAGCTATTTGATAATGCTAAATTGATATTTTTAAAACAAACTGTTAATAACTAACCTTGCTGATACAAACAGAAGGCAATATACTCAGTTTCTCTTCAAAACCAACACTCCAAAAAAGGAAAGTATATATTTGGCTCATTTCCCCCACATAATTTTCCTTCATTTATGTAGACTAAAAACACAGTGTGAGCCACTAAGAAATATAACTAGTAGGTAAAGTTTGACTGGTTTGCTTACTTTTCATATGAAGTCATAGCATTATATCCTAAACTGCTGCCTAATTTCTAGTTTTCCTAATTCCTAATTAAGCCGTACCTAATTCCAGCTTACTCCCAAAGAGAGGGGGTATATTTTGGTCTTACCTCACCTTTTTCATTGCAGCAAGCAAGAATTTTGTCACTGACTTTAATGGAGCACTACTGGGCATGTGGGACTAAGCTTAGATAATTTGACAGACTTCTGTTGTGCCATTGCTGAGTGGTGACCCCAGGAGTTATAGGTTACAGCAAAGTATACTGATGTTTTCTAGTAAAAAGTAAAAAAAAAGCATGGCATTCTTCTGCAAATGAATGCCAACAATTAAAAAAAATCAGCAGATACATTCAGAAAACATAACAAGACATAGAGTTTTAGCTGAGATTTAAGTGTTTCCCAAGAAGAATCAGTCTTTAAAATGTCGTATAAAACTTCATGCCCACTGATACATTCCAGCAACCAACAGCTCACTGTCTCTGCTGTGCCTGACTTGATGGATAGCCCCACAAACTCAAGTTGCCTGTCTTCATTAGCCTTTCCCACATACAGAGCCATGTTATACTTTTGATTGCTTTTTTTTTGTTTTCTTCCAGTTCCACAAAGTCTGGATCTATCCAAGGAAAGGATTTACCCAGTGTTGTCTACTCATTTAATAGTAACTGCTCCATCCTATTCAATTTTGCAATTACTATTGAGCACTGAGTGGGTGGGCTCCTGAAGCCCTCTGGCAGGACAGTAAGATCTCATCACTGCGTGGTGTTGCTGAACTCAGGACCCATAATTTTATGTACATCGAGTTGGCTCTGCATTTTTTCTCCACAAAACACTTTAATAATAGCTGCGTTTTATTATGAAATTAAAATCAAGAACAAGCATGCTAAACTTTAAAGTTGTTTACTCAACCTACAGTACATACACTAACACTGGGGTAAGTGGGATCAATCTTTCAGAGACCTTAGAAAGCTTACGCCTACAAGAAGTTGCCAAGGTCAGTAAAAGGGTGAATTTTTTAGTGCAACCTTTCCAGCAACCTTTCCACCCCATGAGTTTAAGTGCCCAGCTTGTTCCACATCACTGCCCTCAGTACTGTGAACATATTAAGTCTGACAGCAACCCAGAAGGCGCCCGCTTAGAAGATCTTTAGACTTTCTCCGTGACATATTCTACACAGGGCATCGCACTAAGGGCACAGCAGCCTTGACTCCCAACTGCAGCAGTGGAAACAGGGGTCACTGAAAGAGACTCCTCATTCTGAAGGACAAAATGCTACTCTAAATCACTTCTCTGTTCTGTCAACTGCCTTTAAAACCCCAAGACAGATACACACAGACAAAATAGGCCCCTTCAGCAAATACAGTTTGTCAAATGCACATCTGAATTTTGGTGTGTCAGTCTCATAAGAACATCTTCACATCACAAGTCTGGGTCCCCACATAAGGATTTTGGTTCACATTGATTTTTAAGCTGAACAACAACAAAAACTGAGGCCATCAGATGACAAGAAAGAGAACAAACTGGTATCAGACTGTGATTTCCCACTCACAGCACTGACTTGAATGTTATTCAGCTTGAATGTTGCTGTTTTTTCAACTGCTTTACACTTCTTTTTGAGTGCTCCGAAGTGGATCAACTGCTACTGCATCTGAAAGCAGTGCATGTGTTTGCTTCTGCATAGACTAGGTCACTTTAAACAGTGCAGCAAAAAAACCAAATGACCCAAAAAGTTACCTTGCTATTCTTATAATAAAAGGGTGGAGGTTTGAACTTGGTCCCAACTTGTAAACATCAGCTAATCAGGGGGGAAGTCAGTCCCTTTCCTACATCAGGACAAGCTGTTTGGCTATTGCTTGAGTAAAATGGACTCCCTTCATTTTCCTCCTGAGGCACCCAGTTGAAAAATCAGATATTATTTCTTTTTTAACATGGTGGGCTTTTTTTTCCTCTGTTTTAAATGAAATTGTACCCCGCAGTAAGGTTCAGACGACCATAAAACTGAGGATTCATTGATGTGGATGTTTTTGTCTAGAAGAAAACCTTAGTTCAATAGCCAGATAAACATTTTTTAGCCTGGGAGAGTGAAAATACCATTTCACAACTGTGTATATATTCTAATGCACCAGTTGTGTACAGTTTCTTCAGTGTGCTATTTTGTTGACATTTTAGGCTGCTAAGTCATTTCTGTGCAGCATTAGCATGAATTAAAATGTCTGTGTTACACAGACCAATAATTAAGCATCTTTGGGTGACTCCATTTAATATAATCTCTTCCATATTTCTTTCCTTTTCACCCCTAGTCTGGGTAGTACACTGGAAAAATGGTCTCACTTTTATATTACATTTCCAGTCTTTATGATGACAGTTTTTAATTCAAGTTCTTACCTTAATCCTCTCACCCTCCCCCAACCAGACAAATATCCCAATATCAATATTTCAAAACACTAGAAGCTTTTTTCACAGGTTTTTTGAACTCAATGCCTGAAGAAAGCAGCTCCCAACCAAAACTGACCTAATTCTGTGTGCCAGCAGGGGGCACTTCAAGTCCAGAGGATCATAAGAAAGAGTTCCAAGGACCTTCCCTTGTGGGGCTGTTTTAACTTGCTACTGAGTGCTTAGATCCCAAGGTCAGGAGCAGGTGAAACTGCCGATCAGAATGTGAAGCCTACACGAGCAATCCACTCTTTTTAACTATTGTGTTTTTCTGATGCAACAAAATTTTCCTCTTTAACATCTCTTACATTAAATACAAGACCAGAATATTTGTCTAAAGTCAAACACAAAAGTGTTCCACCCGACCACTTTTTTCAAATGTCAGTAGTAACCAAGAAAGCTACAGTGACAGTGACTGGTTGCAACATCTAATTCTGAGCCAGTAAAAGATGCAGGAATGACCAGGACACTGAATTTGCCAAACACACTGTTACACCTTCACTTCCTATGCCCTAAACTAGGTATGTGACCACAGGGACTTTCCTAAATCTCATGAGGGCCACAGAAAACCTTCATTAATTTAAAAAAATCCTGCTCTGAGTCCTTCAAAGATACAGCAGATAATACTGTTTAATGAAAGTAGAGTTGACTTCTTATTTGAATTTCGCATTCCCTCAATTTCTGTAGAAACAAGATACCCTTATAAGGTTGTATTGCGGCACTCGTCTGAAACAATGAACTGATTCAAATCATTGTTTCAATCCATGACCGGAGTAAACAATTTTCAGAGGGACTGCTAATGCAAAACTTCTCCATATTACGGCTTATCTGTATCAAAGTATATGGTTTACAGAGCAGAGACTGCTGGAGACTCCTCTGAAACATCAGAGACTTCTGCTTATGTCCATTTTAGGACATAACCTGCTTTTCTCTTGCCAGCTTGTGGGGAACTGGAATGAAAGGTAAAATACTTAGGCCAGTACAGAATGGCAAAAGTACCCAAGGCCATCAGAAATTATTTTGGCTCCCAAAATTTGGGTGCATGGACTGTTCACAAGCAATGTTACCTGGAAATAAAACATGAAATCATAACTGCAGGATAGCTATTTTCACATGATAAAGATCTTTGTGCATTACATTTTTTCTTGGACTGTCACCTGGACTCAGCTTTATATGTACAGGACTATGTATTAAATAATAAAAAGGAAAAATACAGTTAAAGAAAGCTGAAAAAACAAACTCAGCAGCCCTTTCCAGCTTTGTGCCACTGCCAGGCAGAATCTATCTAGTGGAGAGGACAGGTAGGCACTGCAACCTGAGAGCATGCAGAAAGCTGGAACCAGACTTGGCTGTGTTGCGTCTGATCCAAATTTCTAACAACAGACTGGGTGTTGAACCGCATGCACCAAATCACCCTCTTAATTCAGGAAGCCTTGCAACCTGGCCTGTTATCTCAAATGTCAGTATTGCCTATTGCAAAAGGTGCTGCTCTCACTCTGCCTTATCCCCTCTCTGTCCCACTGACTGTCCCATGCTGCAGTCCCACGGCTGTTGCAAGGGCTCCTTGTCAACTTGTGCCTGAAGAGCTCTACACACTTAACTTTGTGCTGCAGGACGGTGAGAGCAAATGGGCTTAATCACAAAAAAGCTGTGAAGGCAAGAGAGGAAAGGAAGGGGAAACATGCACTCTCTCACCCCCCTGAACATCACCTCCTGCCCAGAGTCCGGTGGCTGGTGCCCACTGCCATTGCCACAGAGCTGCTCCTCCTGATCCGGCACTTCCCTGCCTGTGTGTGAGCCAATGCAGCTGAGCTGGCAGGCTAGGGAACGGGAAAAGAGTTGGCTGCATTTTCAGCTCTTCTGGAGCCAGGAGGAAGGAGGGACTGAAAGCAGGGAAAAGCTATTGAAATGCCAACTTGCTCCCACTGTACACTCGGCAGCAGTGAGATTCTGAATACCAGTGACACAGTGGATCAAACAGGAAGCTATTAAATCACCATTAAATTAAAGCACAACAAGATTAAGCAAGGAAGATTAATCAGGCAGAATTAAGTGGCTGAAATGTGGAGGGTTTTCTCTTTTGCCAATTTTATTCACTGCTTTTCTCAAGAGTGGGGGGGTATTTTTTCTTTTCTGCTCTATGCAGGAATCAGGGTCTAGTGGTGACAAACTACTGAGCTGCATAGGGATGTTTAAACCAGTGGGAAAGCACTTAGGGTAACATTAGATAGGTAAGTAGTAAAAATGCACAAAAATGTAATAGATTTTTTCACTCAATGAAATTGTAAGGTGCACAAGAAAAATTAACATTTTTTTAGAGGTTCACAGAACAATACAGAGCTAGTTCAGAACTCTCTTGAAACTCTGCTGTTTTAAAGGCCTGCTGCTTTCTTCTGGAGTTCTCCTCTCCATGTGGTCCAAATGTACGCTCCTAAATCCGGAAGGCTGATCAGCAGGGATAACCAGAGCAGCAGCAGCTGCCGTTTACCTGATGAGGATACACTGGTTGTCATGGCGCTTCCAAAGGCAGCGGTAGCACTCATTGGCCACAGCGAAGATGTGAGGTGCGATCTCTCCCATGTGGTGCTTGCTGTATCGCTCCACAGCTGTGCAGTCATACAGTCCTGGAATGCTCTTGTAGGGGTTCACAGAGGCAACTATCGAACCAATGTAGGTCTGCAAGCACATAGCACCCCCCAGAGTTGTTATTACACATGGGATGGAACAGATTAACACTCTGCTCAAATGATCAGCAACAAATACACGTTTGCAAAACCGTAGCAATCCTTTGGATAAAAGTGGATAGTAATTTCCCCTGACTTCCTCCTTTCAAGAAGAGCAACAGTTGGGCAAAAGTTGTTTCCACCTCTGTCATGTTCTCATGCTTACCCCACCTACAATACAGAGCTTATTTGCTATACAAATCCCTGCCTTAATGCTGCTTACAGCTGCACAGTAATGCCTGTGAGCGCTGGTCTACAGCTGCTTCTCATGTGTTCTTAGGGACTTTTATAAGTTCACTGAACTTATAAAAGCCTGACTGTGTCCCAAGTATTGGCGCAAAAGTATGTATTTCCATGTAAGTCCTTCTCTGATACTAATTTTTAAAACAGAACTATAAGACATTATGGTAGACACTAGCAATTATATGGTAGCAGGTTCCAAGAAAAGCATGTGAACTGGCAGGTACTTCCAAAACACTGTGTTTCTGTAACTTGATTTATTACTTGTTTGATGCACAATGGCACCTCATAAGGCATTCATTGCTATCCCATTACAATTAGAGAACACATCAGTTAAAACCACTCAGGTAGCAGTTTATGCCCATTCCCACTGACTTACCTCATTAGGCTGTGGTAACCTGATCATTTGCAACAGTGTTTTCAATGCTGTTCATTTTCTCACTCACCCCCTAACAACTTCAATACATTTTTGAAATAACATCACATTGAAGTGAGGTAGGAGATAACATTAAGTTTGTTATCTCCAGAATTTCCAGTACATTTCTGTGGCATGTGAAATTAATTGATATATTGTATGGTGTGTGCAGTGTTACTGCTGTGATACTGATTTCATTTTGTTAAACACCCTTTCTACGGTTGCAGGCAGGGAGCTGACACCTGGCTTCAGCAGCCCTGCTCTGGACTTGTGAAGAGCCAGGCTGCGCAGCCTCCAGCCCTGTAACACAGCCCCCATGTACACACAGATGCCTCATCAGCAGTCAACCCTCTTGTCACCGACAGGAACCAGCTGTGAAGCTGACAGCAGGACTGGGGCTCTCTTCATCCCCACAGCACTCTACCCAGAAAGGGATGGATAAGGCGAGCAGCATCTTGCATGCCACAGAAATGCAGCCCCACGTGCTCCTCCTGCAGCTTCCCTCTTCTCTGTACAAGCCACCACAAGGACACTCGTTGAGACACATTTTCCTTTCCTCTCCATCAGCCTCTTCCACAGCATTTACAGCCTGCATCTACTGGTCTCCCTCTTCTTCTCCTTAATTAACATGCAATTATCACTGTGTATCAGCTCTCCTTTCTCACTGTTACCCTGCTGTTACACTCCCCATAATCCACCTGTTCAACCTCCATCAGGCCCAACACAAATTGCAGCTTTGAGCTTTTGGTAAGGGAACTACAGCGGTGTCCTTGAAATTATGACAATTTTATTAGCTGTAAGGGGAATATCCTTCCTCAATGTAACTCAAATAGCTTTTACAGAGTGGTGAACTTTCAATCTGTGTGTTTTATAACCCTTGCCATGCTGTGCAATAGCTCAGAAGATTTCATCTAGAGGAGAGATACCATTTCAACACAAGATCCTATCGCAGGGCAATTACAGCACTGAGACAACAGCTTAATTTCCTGGGGATCAACCCCTCTTGAGTTCTTAAATAAATAATAAGGAAGTCTCTGAAAACAAGCTTCCTCTGTTTGATACATATTTCAGGACAGATTGCACAGGCAAAATTTTAAGAGGCTTTTTAAAAATTATATTACTACAGTACAAGTATGACCAATAAAAAAAACTGCTACAGATCTTTGTCTTTACCTTACTAAAGTCTGTCTGAGGTCTTTTGAAAAGAGTAGCTTGAGGCACACCATCACAACAGATGCCATGGCAAAGAAGCAAACAAAAAAAATCCCCATGAAACATGATACCATCTAACTTTATAACAAAGCAACCACTCTACAGCTTCAGTGCAAACAACATCTTCCTGTGGTAAAGCACTGTATCACCATGGGCTGGCTACACATAGCAATTTTTCTTGCTTTTCCTATTTTAAACAGTCAATATCAGAAGAGGCGATAACAGCCCACTTCTGCACACGCTCGTTTAACATGAGACAGTCTTTCACATGGCTTAAGCATAACTTTTTAAAAATTATAGAAATGCTTCCAGAATATTAGTCACTATTGAGAATAATGTAAATTTTTTATTAAATTAAGTCAGCTGGCTACAGGTAGTGTATTACGGCAATAACAGAAACCTGGTGAATAGCAGAAACAATACTGGTGAAAACAATTCCTAAATCACCTCATGGAGTTATGCTTAGGACATGTCCTTAGGACTACTTAAAAAATTCCCTCTCCCTATATTTTTCTTTCAGCAAAAATGTGAAGAATCACAACCTCTACTGACACAGGTGCAACTTTGTGTTCCAATCTTCTGGTGCTCTGAGTATGTACTACCTCTTTACAAAACAAGTTAAATACGTGCTCAAATCACCACCAAATTATAATGACACAAGACAGAACAAACTCAGGCCTCCAAAAAACAGGTTCCTCATGTCGAGGCAAGAACACAAAAGAAGTATATTCTTCATACACACAGTGCATCACATTCATCACCTACCAAGTGTCACAATCCAACACAGCAGTAGCCACAACTAGGTATCTGCATGGACTAAGGAGAAGTGGAAGTTCCACCTTTACTCAAGGTAGTTCAGCAAGGTATCAATGGGCTGAAGCAGCATTGTTATTAAAAATTATTTCAACTATTTTAAAAGTTCACATTAAAAGACAAATCTTCCAGAAGTCTCCGTCCAACCTGGCCTTGAACACTTCAAAGGATGGGGTATCCATAACTTCTCTAGGCAACCTGTTCCAGTGCCTCACCCCCCTCACATCCTAATGTCTAATCTAAACATACTCCCCTTCAGTCTGAAATTATTCCCCCTTGTCCTGTCACTATGTGCTCTTGTAAAAAGTCCCTCTCTATCTTCCTTGTAGGCTCCTCCACCTACCCTTCCCCTGGGGGACCCTGAGCAGCCACTCAACACAACTCCTTTCTTGTAGGGCAGACCTTCCAGTTTTGCAAATCCAAGCACCTTAGCAGCAAGCTAAACCAGTGTAAAGATGCAGCACTGTTCAGTGGACATGTATTGTCTCCTGAATGTTATTTCTGCACCAGGCACCATCACATGGCAAATTAAAGCTGTTAGCAGTCAGAAGCAGGATCTCTAAATTACTATATTATGCTAACATCACAAGGCAGGTGACATTTCAGAAAAAGTATTTTCACGTAAGTGTGTCACTTCCACTTATAAGAGAGTAATCTAAATTTTCTTTTTGTTCTTTGCAGATTCTAATCTGATTCTGGCAGTCAATAGGTATTTATTTTAGTGAAAGCACTCCAAAACAGTTATGAATAGGAGAAATGCTCATACATCTGCCAGAGCACTAGCAAGTAGACACAGGAGTTCTGAAGATTTCCAGTTTAAATAGTTTGAGGGGTTTTTTCAGGGAAATATTGTGATAAGTTCTATTACAAGCCTGACCCCTTAAATCTGTGGCAGTGAACGGGACAGTTCACTATTCCCTGTCATAAGACCAACTTGACAATTCAGACAGAACCACACACAAACTCTCGAGCTATTTTGGTAAAGCCCTGTCTTCTTATTTAGACACTGAGTAAGGCGATGGCACCACAAGAATTGAAATGAAATATGTACTTCAGAAAGGAAGAGATTTTTCATCAATTCTTTGATTGCTTTTTTGGGGGGCGTTTGCCTATTGCCTTCTGATTGAAATTAGCTTTGAGCCTGTGTCTTGAAATCATCCCAAAGTTCTTCAAACACTGAAAAACAATTTGTTTTTTAACAAGGTTCAAGAGCTCACAAAGACTGCTGATACCCATAGAAACACTCTAGCCAAACTTAACACAGTCAGAGTAGTCCTGTCTAACATGAGAGGTTTTTTTATTTTTTTTTAAGGAAGACACAATCAGTTTACTTTAGTTTGATGCCAAATGAATCTAAATGATGTAAGAAGTTTTATGGATCAAAATACACTTTGTCAAGTTAGCTTAAAATTACAAGAAACCAGTTTGCAATGGAAGAATGAAATATAGTTTGAAATCTTTCCTTCCTATGTAGAATATGCTTTCAGACTGAAAGAGGGAGAAGTAGAGTAAAAAATTTCCCCTTCAAATTTTTTTCAGATTCTCTATAAACAAAAAGCAACGAAAAAGGAAAATGCCCTAATGCAAGATCACTTCAGTAGTCCCATAAACCAAACACACTAAATATACCAGGACCACCTTGCTCTTCATCTTTTCCCCTCCATAGATGCTTTTTAGAATTTTTGGATATATCCTTTCAGGTTTGCTCCATATCCAGCAATCATCCACCTTCTACTTCTTCGCCTTTATGTCAAGACTTCTTCACAATAACTTTGCTATTTCTGAGGATCCTCCGTGATTTCTGTGTGTTACCCAATCTAGTTTTTCCCAAGTGAGGTCATTAAATTTATCCCAGACTGCTTTTCTCATGACCTCCTTTCACCCTCTACATCTAGCTATCCCTCTGTACTGCCCAGACTTCTAGCATCTGAGACATCCCAGTCTTCCTTCTTTCATAAATAAATAAATGAAAGGGGAGGAAGGCAGGGAAAGACACACAATTCTTTCATGCTTTGCATATCTCATGCTACAAGGAGAGTGGTAGGGAAGACAGGAGCAGGCTAGAGGACCCTGTTAAAGGGCACTATGTGCTGCTCCAGAACTAAATCTTTGATCAACAATCACAAAAGACACCAAAACTGCTTGCACTATTAAAGCAGGCAAAAGAACACTTCATTCCTCTCTATCATTATGTTTCTACAACGACACCAAAAATCAAAATATTCTTCACAACTTGCAACTAGAAATGCTGGAACAGATAAAATATAGAATTA